CATTACCCATTCAAACCGTCTCCAAGCATTATTAGTCTCAAAGTGGGTTCCTCGTCATCGAATTTGAGGACAAATACTGCTTTTCAACTAAACATAAATTATCTAAATTAAATGCATATACTTTCCAAGTGTACAAACATAATACAGTCCATGTATAAATTAAGTACATTACAAATTATCAAAAATAAATAAAATTAGTCAATATACTTTCCTTTTTAAATTGAAATCTTATTCTAATTATACTTTTTTCTTATTATCATAACAGAAATGCAATTTATTTAACTATAATTTCATACTCTTACATTTTCTTTTCTGTAAGTCTTAGTAACTGTTTTCATGGTTTCACAATTCCTACTGACCTTGCACAACCAATTACTTCTGCCCTCTTACTACTATCTGTTTAAAGTGGTGCCAAAATATTTTTTGAAAAATAATCATTAATTTTTTTACATCATATTCCCAAAAGTGGAAAATATGGTTCTTTCAGTATTTTAGATTTTCTCAAAATACATTCATTAAAATATTTACTGGCATAGAGTGGGCTTTTTTTGGAAAATCTAACATGGAATTTGTGTAAATTTATCCTTCATTTTAAATTATCTATTTCACCAATAAATAATTCACCTCAATTTACACATTATAATGGATATATTACATTCTTAGAATTGCAATTAAATTAGTTATTCATAAAAAACAAAATTTTTTATTGTTTTGGTAGATTTTATATAACCTAAATTACAAAAAGCATAGTTCTTTCTGTCATTTTTTTAGGTCTATTCAATAATCTATACACATTTCTTGGTTGCCTTCTTCTTTCAGTTTTCTACTATTTCTTTTAATTGAGTATTAGCAAATGAAATATCAATATGTATATTTGGACAATGAGTTACAACAAAAAGTATAATATTCTCTTTATGTTCACTAATATCTCTGTTTAAATGCTTTTTATCAAAAAAGTTCTTAGTGACTTCTAAACCTCTTAATATAACTTTCTAGATAGTGACATTGAAATAAAAATGTATTTAGTTGTAATAATCTATTACCTCTCAGCTTAGTTATGTATAATATGAAAATTTAAAAATTGCTCATTTTTCTAACAAGAGAGGTCGGGTTGTAAGGGCTACCAGAAAATCTCTGAAAATATAGTACTGAATAGTTCAACTTAAGGTATTTTAAAAGGAAGAAAACATTTTCATTGCTTCTTCCCAGTTACATGTTTCCTTCTTGCATAGCAATATTTAACCTTTGTTTTCTGTCCTCGTTTTTACATAGTTGTATTTAATGTAGGTGTTTGTATATATTAGAGTAACCAAAGAATAATTAAATTTTATGTTTAAAGTACAAATTTATAATACACTAATTCAGCTTCACATTCAGATTGGAGTACAAAAGAAAGTTTAAAAAAATGTTTTCAGTTACCTACAGATTCATTTGTATGACATTGTATGTATGTTTTGTTTTTCAGTTAAATTTTTGGAAGTAATTAAGCCATTTTGTGGCATTCTTCCTGAAGTTGCTAAACCTGAGAGAAAGGTAAGCTGAATGTTTTGATCTGCTAATACATTCAGTGATATCAAATTCTAACATTTAATTTCATAAACTTTGAGGATAATTTTATTAACATTTCTGATTATATATAGCTTTAAAACATATATAAATAAACTACATTTAATTAACTTGTTCATTGAAGTTCATTATAGTTAATTAATAAAAGTATCCATTTGATATTTTCATAAAATTTTCAGTAAAGTATTTTTATTTTGATACAAAAGGACCATATTGCAATTGTGTTGTTTTTTTTGCCACCAACTTCTGGAAGGAAAAACAATGTTAGAAAGGCTTGATTTTTTGTTTCAGTCCACACATAAAGAATTACATTGGTTTTGGGGATTCTTTTATGACCTAACCTCCATAATAAACTTGGGTCTTCCCATAGCAACGTAAATTAATCAGATCAATTGAATCTTAAGGTTTAGGGGTTAATGCTGTCTACATGTTAAACAGGGATTTTAAAATGTACAACTTTATTGTGTACTTGGCATTCTTGATTTTTCAAGTAACTTCTGTAAGTTTGCATGTTGTATTAATAATTAATTTATAATCAACTTCCAAGATAAAGATATGTTTGTTAACTTTTAGTCCGCTAAAAGTTAACAATAAAAATTCAAATCCCTAAATAAAATAAATTTGTGTAAAAAAAAAATTATATATATATATATATATTTATTTCTAATCTTACCAAATTGCAGATTGGTTATGAGTTTACTTGTGTTTTGTTCAGAGCATCTTTGTGTGCCATTTATTAAAACATTGAGTTTGAAAGGAGTCGGACGTGGTTTGCTCATAACTCAACTATGTTATATAAAACTTACAGAGTATGTACATGAAGACACCTAGTAAATTTTTAAAGTGTGGCATCTTCTAAAACATTTTTCTATATGGAGTGGAACCGACAAATCTTGCATATGTATCACATTTCACTTCATTTCCCATGGGTAGTACAAGCTCTGCAGGCTCTGGTTGGAAATTTATTTTTGCTTGTAGATGAAATGAACACAGTAATATGCTGTTTCATGTCACCAAACAGTCTTCCTAAAGGATCCTTATGTGGGGCTCTCCTTGTACCTTCAGATGATGGACTGGATTTGTTCCTCTCTAGTTTCAGTGAGCCTTCTTTCTCTTTGTCAGTAATCCATTCTCTTGCCACAGAGAACTGCTTATGTTTTATTTTTTTTCTGTTGTTTCAGGGCTTTGTAGATTTTGTATGAATTGAAAAGGTCACAATTTATCAGAAAAGATACTACCTTTTTGTCCATTTTACTGTTTTTTTTTAGAATGGTGTAGTATGAGAGGTACAGATTTGCATGATCAACACCTTTCATGTGGGCATTGTATTGAAGAACACACACAGGTTTTTTATTTCTTCTCCAGTTATTCTATTTTTCTTTCCTGTGGTAGAAACAAATGAGTCATGGATGGTTGAAACCATTCTCTTGTCTTTCCATATGAAAACAAGAACATTACCTTTTCTACAGAAAGCTGTTTCACCGTTTTTCATTGTTGAAACTTCAGGCTTGGCGACAACCCTCTATTATCTCTGATTGTTCTGCAGACTCTTGTTTTTATGTTCTAGAAACAGGTTTGCAATGGAAATACTGTTGTAATAATTGTCCTGGTATATGTGGTGCCACAATCCAAGATTAGGAGCAAGAACTTAATGAATAGTCTTCTCCAATTTTTTCCCCTCACCAGTATAAATCTTCATGTTGCAACTATAACCTATGTCACTCTCACACACCATTCTTATCAGCAGACCATATTTTACTATTTTTGCAGGGTCTTTGTTCGGAATCTTAGATGTACTTTCCATGGAATCATGCCCTCATCCAGTGACAACTGTGGCTGTGGTTTGTATAGTGTCCTGAATTTGTTGAGGAAATAATCCAGTACTGGTTGACTTTTGAAGAGCCTGCCTAAAGACTTATCCATTTTCTGATTATCATTGAAATGCCAAAATGTCCAAATTAGTTCAAATCTGTTTAGGCTCATTGTCTGCAAAACTATTGGGCTAATCAAAATAGGATCTGTTGGCCAATAATCTTTCCAGTTATATTTCCTTGTCTGTCCCATTAGTAGAATAAGGCCTAGGAATTTCCTCATGTCTGTAGGTGTAACTTCAGACCATTGAAGTCCTTTAGATGACATTTTATGTTTCTCTGCAGTTTGATTATGGTAGGTACGCATTTCCTGACAAAAGATTTCAAAGAAGTCATCACCAAACATTAGACTTGTCACGGCAGCAATAGTTTTGGGTTCGGGTGGAGTTTATTGTGACCCCTAGATTTCCTTCAAACATTTCCAAGTTCGGTAGAATATCTTTTTCTGACCAGTTATTATCACAACGGGAAAACAAATCCTTAACAGGAACATTTGTAGAATCATCATCATTTTCTGATTCAGAATCAGTTTAAAGCACAACTTTACATATCTTTGTAGGTCTAACAACATCACTGCAGCTAGAGTCAGTGTCAGAATAATCCACAAACATGTCCATGTCAGAATCTTCACCTTCACTTGGAAGATCTGACAAATTATCATCAAATAGTTCAGAAATTATCTCATCTTCACTCAACAAGTTCACAGAAAAATAATAACTGTCCAAAACAAAATAAAAGGAGTCTGACTCCTTTTGATTGCAACGTTTTGATAACTGGCACACAAAGATGTTCTGCCTGAAACACGAGTGAACTCATGACCCATCTGCAATGTGTTATGGTGTACATTGTGTGTGTGTATATGATTTTAAGATATATCTATAAGAAAAAAATAAAACTATGTTGTCCTGTGTTTCTAACTTGATCTTAAACTAGAAATATCCAAGTAATGGAGCATGATTTGATCAATCAGAGATTGAAAAAATTATAGTGGACACCAGAAGTGTTAGTAGTTTTTATCACAACTGAGGAATTTAAACTTTTATCAACAGTTACATTGAAGTAATTCTTTTTTTGTTTTCAAACAATGTTGATGTTTCTTGCCAGAAGTGAGTAATAATAAAATTTTCATAACCCACAAGTTAATGTTTACATTGCCTTACAGCTCTCAGTATCAAATTATCACGTTCTGTGTTTTGTCCAGGCTGTTGTGATGAAAACATGTTTGTGTATATATATATATATATATAATGGTTTATCTTGTTATTCGTGGAATCTACAAATTATACTTGTAATATTTCAGATCCAGTTCAGAGAGAAAGTTCTATGGACAGCTATTACTTTATTCATATTTTTAGTGTGCTGTCAGGTAAGACATTTTTAAAAGCATAAACATTCTGTGTTTAACAGTTATTAGTTTTTAATCATATCTTTTTGACTCAAAAAATTTAATAATAAACATTTTTAACTAAAACAATTATCTGCAGTGATCAGTGATGCTTGTGGTTTAGCAGAGGTGATTGAATTACAAAATTACTTAAAGTTGTTTTAACCACCTGACACTTTGATGCTTAAAAATTAGTGTGTGAAACTGAAATACACGATAAAACTTTTTAACCCTCTTTATTTATAATAATGGGCACAATTATAATTGTGGTATACATATTTAAAAATAAAAATTTATATGCATAGTATTTGTTTGTTTGAGTACTCTTCCTTCTTTTATATATATATATTTTTAGTACCAAGTAATGTATCTTAACTATGTAATAACCAATAGCTTCATGTTTATTGTATATAGGGGATAATACAGGCAAAATTTGGGAGCAGTTACCACTTTTGGGTGCAAATTTTTCTGCACCCACATTTGAGAAATCATATGAAAAGGTTAGGTCAGAAATAAAAAATATATAATGTAAAATAAATAATAATAAAAACAACAACAACAAACAAAGATTTTGCTTTGCAGAATCTTGTCTAATTTGTACTTGATTGCTTCCTCTCAAATTAATTTTCTGTATTAACCTTCTGGTATAACAATAGCTATCTTAATGCATCATAATATTCAAAACTTATGAATAAGACTTCTATTACCAGTTTCAAAAGTAGAAAAAAATTTAGAATATTTATTAAAATTGGTAAGTTATTGTGGTTACTCCTTCTTTACAGATCCCACTTTTTGGAATTATGTCATCTGATTCAGCAGACCCATTTTATTGGATCAGAGTAATCCTGGCCTCTAACAGAGGAACCCTTATGGAACTGGGTATTTCACCCATTGTGACATCCAGTTTAATTATGCAGTTACTTTCAGGAGCAAAGATCATTGAAGTTGGTGACACCCCAAAAGATCGAGCATTGTTCAATGGAGCACAAAAACGTATGAGACTCTTAAAAATATTTAGTGCCAAATCCTTTTCTGTCAAATTCATTTGTATTGGTCTATGAATGATGCACATTTATAACTAATTATTGTCGTTTAATTTACATTTGAAATAATTTTAATATATGATCATGATTTATTCTTCATGTCTATCAAAAACATTTTGGTTTCTTATGGCTGTTGATAATTCTCCCACCATAAGTAGACAGTGGTCTCAGGTTTCATGATGTCTGTCACAGGGAATTCATGTCTTATGTTCAGGTGGCGATATTTTCCTTTCAAGATAGGTATTATTCTTTTTCCCAGGTGATCTGTGGTAAGTTTTCAGTGTGTATTTCTCACCCCTAGATATACCCATGTTCAATAAGTTTACGTGAGCTCGATTGTATGGATCTAATTTCCTCGTTGGATAATTTGTCATTCATGTCTTCTCTGGTCAGTATTGTTCAAGTTCGAATTTTATAATTTTTTTACCATCTCTAGGTTACAACTTGTGTTTAGAGTTTGTTTCTTGCATTAATTTATATTAATGTTTTACACTTTTTCACTGTTAATGTTATTTATTTATAAGTTCCTTTTTTTATATCTTTACTTCTAGTCACTTCTAATTGGGGATAAGTTTTGAGTCAACCTTTGTTTTTGTTAACTGGGTGCCTTTTTGTTCTTTAGGATAAGTTTTCTTTTCGTGTCCTTTGTCTTCTAGTTTCCTTGAGTCAACTTCTACATTCTATGTTTCAGGATTGTTTATCTTTTCAGTCCTTTTAGTGGTTTTGTACTTTATGTGTTACTTATTCTTTCATGTTTCAGGTCGATTTTCTTAGTTTTCCAGGTGTGTTACTTTTAAGCTCTTTGTAGACTTCACCTTTCTAAGTTTTTGTTAGTTCATTAGTGTACTTTCTTCAATTTCTTTAGTTTATCTGTCTTTTTGGCTACACTTCATAACAGTTCTGTTTGTTTTATGGGTTCTCTATGGGGGTTTCTGACTTCTGTTTTGCTCCCCCTCTACTCACTTCCCAGATCTTTGTCTGGTCATCTGGCTTAGTCTGTTCGGGTCCTACTATACAACAGAGCTATCTAATGTGTGGAGCCCACTCAACTAGGAGTTTACTCCCATCCTTCTTTGTCTCCCTGTACACAGGAGTTTAAAGTCTCTTTCTTGGTCTGTCCTGGCTGTATAATTATCTGCAATCACCTCGCTTCACCATGGAGTCTTACCTCTCACTCTGGTGGGTTTTTATGCCCCAGTGTTTAATTTTTTTCTTCAGTTCCACTAGGTGAGTCTTGCCTTTTTGTTCTTGGCACTCACTGACTGTCTTTCTTCAGCTCTAAATGTGTTTTGTAGAGTGGTATGCTTTTGCATGTCATCTTCACAAATTGGATCTTCAAACTCCCTGTGCCCAGTCAGTCACTCACACCTTCTTCCATTTTATAAAAGCTTCTCAAGTGGGTTTATTTTCTGGTTGGAGAAGTCCTTTACTAACCCCTCACCTTATTAATTTGGGGGGTTCTCTTCACTTCTCTCTTTGGTCAAGCCAAGCTTTTTCCGCTTTGGCTCCAGGATATCAAGCATGACAGTCACATTTGCCATCCCTTCTCCTTCTCTCTATGTCCATGTGGTTCTCTCTTTTGGGATATGATCTTCCTTGGCAATGCTCATTCCCTTGGATCAGACACACGTGCATTCCCTTCATTGGATACTTCTCGACCAGTGGAACTTCCTTCATGATCACTTGAACCATCCCATTTTCCTCGGTTCCCCTGAATTTTTGGGTCAGTGGTCAGTCAAGGAGGATACTCTTTATATCCACACATCCTCATACCATGACAGTTCATTAGGCTCTGTATCCTTTCCTGCGGGGGAGAAAGGTTTTGGTTCTTTCTGCAATTTCACTGTCATCAGCTTTATCACCTAGACAGGGGGAACCACATGACGACCTATGTCTGGTCAGACTCTGGATTTCGTGTATTAGGCCAATGACCTTGATGTGACTATCCTGGCAGGTCATATTCCCTGAGTTCTGACTCTTGTGGCCGATCTCTTATCATGTCTTCCCTAGGTTCTCCACAGAGTGGTCTCTTCATTCTCACACTTTTCTCTGGGTGTGTTCTCAACATATTTGTATGTGTTTCCCATTCACTGGTATGCCAAATTTCTTCCTTTTTGTCTTCAGTTCCTCACACTTCATCTGTGGAGATTGATGTCTTTGATAAAGATTGGCGAGGTCTTCACCTTTTTGCCTACCCTCTGATTTAACTCATCTTCTGGGTCTTTTTCCTTATCTAGACCAAACTATGCTCTGCTGGTTCTTCTGTATTGACCACTCAGATGTGATTCCCTTTGCTCTTGTCTTTACTGGAGCAACATGCCTTATCCTGTCCACTCCTCAGTCATCTCCGATCTGATGTTTTCCATCCAGACATCTCCACACTCCTTTTTTCAGTGTGACTTTTGTCCAGTCATGTGCCTCAGCTCAGGGGCTCACCTCTATATACCTATCATAGGTTCACACTCCTCCTTTTCAGGGTCTTTTCCCTTATCTAGACCCCTCCTTGTGTTCTGTTGGTTGTTTCAGATTGGCCGGCTCCAACATAGTTCCCTTTACTCTAGCCCTTCATGGAGCAACACACCCTGCCTGTTACTCTGTCCTATTCACTCCTCTGTCCACCGTGATTGGTCGTTTTTCATCCTGTCCTCACCAAAGTCTTATCTCTCTGTGTGTCTTTTGTCCAGTCCCATGCCTCAGTTCAGGGACTCGACCTTTGTATCACATCTGTCATTGCCTACACCTATCGCCCTTCCTCTTTGTCTACGTACCAGGGGCTTAAGTCTTGCTCCAGTCTTTAGTATTTTTCCCAGGGCTTCCATCCCTCCTATACTTCTGTTCCTCACCTGTAACCAATTCTTTATCTGGTTATTTGTTCAGAATTTTTTCTGTTTGAAGTGTTGCTCTTTATCAAGTTGCCCTACTGAACTCCCTTTTTTCTCCCTCTTCCAGAAAGTTTCTCTTCTCCAGGTTGTTCCATTTTTTTCATCTGGTCCATCCAACACATTTCCTTTGTTCTGCCTGATTGAAATCTCCATATTGTTCTTCCTATCCTGTCCAGTTCTTCTGTGAACCCTTTGCAATTTGTTCCTTATAAGGTATTTCTCTTAAAACCTCAATCCTCAAGGTAATTTGTGTTACTACTATTATTTTTTTCTCTTTTATCGTTGCTTATACACCATATTTCAGGATCCCACCTGATGGCAGGTGTTGCCTGGTCAGGTATGCTGAATTTTATATCTTAGCACTATATCTGTATATACTTCTCCAATGCTCACTGTGGAGATGGGGTGTTTCTGTAAGACCACCAGATGCTTTTTCGGTGGTGTATCTATATATATATATAACACATTTTTTATGAATAAGTTTGGTATCAAATTGTAGATTATAATTCAAATTTTAGTATTATACATTTGTAAATTTCTTAACTGAAAAGTAAATATTAAAAAAACACAGCTAAACATCGATTTTTGTGTGTCAAGTGGTATGTTGAATGCAACACTGGTTCAAATTAGATGTTTGTGATGTCAAAATACAAAATCTACAATTTCACAAGAATTGGGAACTCAAACTACTGATATCGATAAGCTAGAATATAAAATAAGAATCTCTTATTTTTTCTATTTGCTAAGATATCACTCACACTGAATCAAACACAGTGGCCCCCTGCCTACCTCTTTCCATTTTTGAAAACAATCCCTTATATACACTTACTTTTATATATAACATGAATAACCAATGGAAAGCTCAGAATGTCTCCCTAGTGTTATTGTGTTAATTTCATTCTTTCCACACAAGATTTCAAACGATAAGGTAAGTCTTTAGTGAGCTTGAAATTTCATAATTTTTTAGACCCAAATACAGCTTAGTTACTACACTTGATAAATTATATTGGGATTCTATGGTATCGATATAATCATTTATGATTTTTTTAGTTATTTAAAATGTATATATAAAACCTAAAAAAAAAATTTTTTTCTTTATACATCCTCCACGTCGAAAATTTCATAAGGCTTACCAACCTATGACAAATGGCAAATGAGTACAAAGGTTGTAGCTAGAAGAGATAATTGTTTGCTTTACTTCTTTATTTACTGTTCTTTGTTTTAAGAAAAATAAGTTTAAGAGCTTATTTGTAAATAGAAATAATGTTTATACGTATATGATGTATAATAGTTGAAATGTGACTGTATTTTACAAAATACTAGTCCACTGAAACACAGCCATGATAGGTCACTTTGTAAAGACTAAAGGTCGGTTATATATTATTGGATACGGTAACATGAATGTAAGTGCGACTCTTTATAGTAATTTCTGTATTGTTAGCCAGGCGTGGATGGAAGGTCAGTATAATAAATATATATAAATGTATGATGTTATGAAATTTAAGCTATTTAGACTCAACATTTTTGTTTTCATGTTATAATTTGTAACCATTTTAGAATGAAAAAATATTAATTTATATTTTTATCCTAATTTTTTATTGAAGTTGATCAAATTGTACCAACCCATAAAGAAATACAATTGTGAAAATAACAAATAAAATATAAAGTTTTTTTCTAAAAAAAATTTCATAATTATTTTGAGATTATAAAGATTTTGCATGTTGGATAGTCAACATTCTAAAAGAAAAAGGTTTATGAGAAAATCTTTAAAAAATCTTAATACTTAATTTAAAAACCTGATATTTTGTATACAAAAACCTTGTATTGTTTGCCAATAACATGAAAAATTTTGTAAATATGTGCATACATTATCAAAAATCACAGTATAATTATTCTCGTGGATACTTTCGTGGTTACGAGCTGAGTGGATTCCACCCGGCCCATAATGGAAAGGTTAACTGTGGCACACCTCCTCTTTTTAGAGTCCTCACTCTCTGCTTGATTATTTGTTTTTGCATCTTCACTGGCCCTTCCACCTTTCCAATGTGAGATTCTAGTTATGGGGGAGAGGAAGTAGTACCATTTCAAAAGTTCACATTTTCTAACACTGAAAATGTATTTCTGCTAGGTACTTAACTCCTTTCATACCCCTTCCTCCCACTGGTTTGCCAGTGTTTTGGGGTTTGTTTTGGGTGCCAATTCTTGAAAGTGAGGATTGTGCTGCAAGGGTAGAGGGAGCTACCTGTGCCAGTATAGAGGGCACAATGGGATTGGTGGAGGGTGGTCGCATGACCAACACATGTTGCTATAATGACACAAAAATATAGGGGTATAAAAGACTGGTACGCTTTTAAAAAACTTTACCAATGCCTACAGGGTAAATGAAGGTCGAGATAGCTATGGGTGAGAAAGGGAAGTAGCTATCAGAAATACATTCAGTGTTAGAAAATGTAACTTTCATAAACCAGATGGACTGCTTACAGAGACCTTTTCAACCTGTGTGAATCATATCTAACACAGCTTCTATATCATGTATAAAGCTCAAACGCTTAGATTTTAACATCTGAATTTTTTTAAACCAAAAATAATTCTAATAGCCCACTCCAGCATCCTATCTAATAAATGTAGTTTTTACTGAAAAGGATATTGTTCAACACATCATTCTCTTATAAGAGTAATATGTTTTAAATAATACAGAAAAAAGTATTCATTCGTAAAATTATTTATATCAAATCTCACACTGGCCTTTTGAATCTACTATAACTCTGAATTTTCTAAGTGGGTTTTAATAAAGTTTAACAGACTATGGGCAAGCATTAATAGTCTGTTGTACACAAAACTTTTTACATTTTGGCTACTTTTGCTGAAGTATGTATAACAATGAATAAAAAATATACATTAACAAAGATTTGTAGTACTCGCTGCATACTCAAGCTCAGTTGCACTTGAGTAAAATGTTGAAGTCTTGTTGAGTCTCACAAATTTGGAATGTCTAAAACATTAATCCTTGTAGATTTCAAATATGCATTTTAGAACACAAATATATAAGTTACTAGAATGAAATGTCCCAAAACTACTGTGATTTATCCGGCTTTCTAAGTAAGCTATATATAGGTTAAAAATATTCTTTTAGACATTTGAAGCAGGAATATGATGTCTGCACACAAAGAAACTATGACAGTCACTTATTCTGTGGCTGCCAAAATCAAATAGCTGTAATGAACATTATGTAGAGGAGAATCTGATCTTTTTACTGGTTTTAGATATGATCATCAGCCGTTTAAAGTTAATTAGCAAAATAATCTCAAAGTTTGAAAGATATGTGAGGGGCTTCTTTTGTGGGTTTGACAAATTTATTGATATTTTGGCAACTCAAGAAGGTAGGAGGTGCAAATTATAGATTCTTTCTTGCAGATATGTTTAGTTTCTGTTTCTAATTGAATGGAAAGTGGAGAAATTGGAGCTCTGATGCATAACACAGCTCAAAAAATTAAAATTGCGAGTTAATTAAATATTTCTTTTTCAAATTAAGAAATTGAAATTCAGATAATATAAACATTTGAACTATAAACTATATTTTTCTGTCAAGTTTATTGACATACATTGATAATAAAGTTGTCTAATTAATTTTTGAATTTATTGTTGTAGAAGGTTATGACATGCTTGCTTGGACTCATCTAGAGTGAAAGTTGTAGCAAAAGGAGCTAAATATTTAATATACAGAGATTTGTTCACAGTGCTTTAAAGAACTTTGGCCTGGGCCAAAGTGATTTATTTTATAGTATCTTACAATATGTTATTACAATTATTTAATATTTTTGTTACCCTTTACTCTAATCTCCGTTTTTTCCGTGTAATTTTTAGTTTACATCTCTTTCAAACTGTCTTTTGTTAAATAAGTTATGTTATTACGTTTTGTAATTTGATTTTGATTTGTTCTGTAGTCTTTGGTATGGTGATAACTGTTGGACAAGCCATTGTGTATGTGATGACTGGTATGTATGGAGATCCTGCTGACATTGGAGCTGGTATCTGTCTCTTAATTATCATCCAGGTAAAATGTTATATTTTTTCCTTCAACTCTATACTCGGTTTTACTCCTTTCCCCTTTACATTTGTTCAAGGTTATGCATGTAAGATATTACAGGGTTTTTGCCTGAACCCCCCTCTTGCATCCTTCAAGACCTTAGACTACTTGAGAACCCTTCCATTTAATGATTAATATATATTTTTAATAATAGCTTAGCCAGTGAGGTTACAAAAAACTCAAGCATGAACAAAAATAATCATTTATTTTAATAGATACAATTTTACTGAAACTATTACTTTGTCCTGTGTCAAGTAAGAGAATATTTCTACATGTGCCAAGGCTTCTCTGAAACCATCTCATCAACTCCAGTTTGGAAGTCACTGTAATATTACAATCTGTGTCAGAAACTTATATATGTTCAACATATGTATTTACACTTTTAAATAAAACATTTAAAGTTAAAGAAATGGTCTTTTAGGCATAAATGTTTTGTTTAACCAATGATAATTGTATGCTATAAGAAGAACTATATTCAATTATAGTTAATAGGTAAGTGTATTCTTTAAAAAAAAAAAAGGGTAGCTTTAGATGTGTTTAGTGAGATTTTAATATACTTAATGGAACTTAACTTTTATGGGTGTTAAAATTGGGATAAAGTAATAGATGAAAAGAAAACTTTTCACTGGACTTTACTCATGTGGGAGACATTAAGTGTTTAGTTTTTTTTATTTTAATTTTAAGTATAATTACAACTTTTACTTTTGTTGGTGGACTATATTTAAATAATGAATGAAATATTCTCAAAGTATGTAGTCTGAATGAAAAATATAATTTATTAGGAAGTAATAACAAGTTGAATTAAACTAGTTTCTTGTACACTGACCCTTTAAGACAGTAAAATTTTGAACAGTAACATGCTTTCTTGTATAATACTCTGAACACTTGTGTTAATCAAATTTTATTTTTCCAAATTTATTGGATATTGAGGTGCATAATAAGTTAGTCATATTTTTTGAAAAAAAAAATATCAGAACTATATTTAAAACCTAAGGACTAAAAACTCATAAACTGCTTTTTTATAATAATTTGGCAAAAATACAAGAGGAAATATTTTCTTTCTAAACAAATTACAGTTTTTGTGGTAACATTCAGTACCTTACTTTAAAAAAAAATTATTTTTTTTTCATAAGACAAACTTAATTTTTTCTTTAGCTTGTTGTTGCTTTCTTGATTGTTCTACTGCTTGATGAGTTGCTGCAGAAAGGGTATGGTCTTGGCTCTGGAATTTCCCTCTTCATTGCCACTAACATTTGTGAAACAATTGTGTGGAAAGCCTTTAGCCCTGCAACTGTGAACACTGGAAGAGGTTAGCTTGGTATTTGATGTAATCCTACTTTTCGAAATACTATTATTGCTTGTTTCTGTATTATAGGGTTAAGAAAGACTTTCTTGCTGTAAAAGTTTCACTGGGTTATACAGTATTGGTAATAATTATAAAATGGTGAAGAAAACAAGTTATAAAAAGCAAATAGTACAGGAATGCCTCGTAAAAAAATAACCACCAATGTACAGTAACGTGTTAATAGTTTATGCTATGATTGGTTGTTGTCCAACTAATAGGAAACTTCTACACTAGTATAAAGCCTATAAACGTATAGGTAGATATACTATGTCCAGTAGTAATAATGTAAGTCTAATCATGACTCTCAGGAATGGAATTACACATGATAAGCATGTTATAATTATAAACTTTTGTCTGGTTAAGGATACTCCATGTGAAAAACTGCAACAAAACATGTATGTGAGATTCTGAAGAGGATACATAAAAGTAGTGTGCTAATAAGGAAAGTGTTCAAATTAGAATCTCAAACTCTTCAAATGTTATGCTAAGTAACTCAAACTATGTTCTTTACATGATATATGACAACCTTAGAGGTGTAAATATTACCTTCAGAATAATATGATACACAACAGAACAAAGTGGCTTCAGTCGTTACATAGCTACTCAGAAACCTTTGTGTAGGAGAAATGATAAAACCAAAATGTTGAAATAGACATAGGCTTCAAACAGTGGGATGAAAAAAAGCTGAAGAAGGGTGCTTTTGTAGGCTGCATCCAAGCTGTTCATGTTGATGTATAAAACGTTTATGACACTCTGACTTTTGGCAGTTGCAAGCACATTTTTATGCATTTTGTCATTCTCTCAGAAATGGAACCTTTTGATCATTGCTTCATCATCATCTAACGAAACAGTGATCTAAATCATGCAGAAAATTAGATGAAACGACACTTGGAACAAAAAATAAAGATCAGTGGAACACTACCAGCTGTGTCTTGGCCTGCACATAATCCTGATACGAATATTATTAAGGCTGTATGGGTTTATGTGGAAACTGAGTGGCAAGTAAAACAGGACATTTGGAACAATATTGAATAAACTTGTAGTAGCATACATGCAATGTATACTGCTCTATTTAAAGTAAATACACAACACTACTGCATTGTTCAGTTGATTTGTGTTTCTTTTGTATTTTTAATAATAATGTGTAGTACTAATGATAAAATGACAATTTATTTAGTCACTTTTGACTCCTATACGTGTGTTGTCTCTGCAGTTAAATAATTATTTCAAGACCATATTTATATGTGCGCATAGATTCAAAAGTCATAAATCAATTTTGAAGTGTACATTGTTTTCTATTCCGTCATAAATATAGAATATTTAAAACAATGTTTTATCTAATATCACATGTCTTTGGCTGGGCATGGCCTAGCAGTTGGTTTCCCCAAACTCTAAATCTGAGAATTCATGATTCACGACCCACTGCTTAAAAATGCACTCCAACTAGGGCTGTAAGTGAGCTTCAGGAGTGATGGTCAAATCCCATATGTTGACCAGCTGGAGTAGACCAGGAGTTCGTAGAGTGTGTTGTTGATTATACAGGTCTGTAATGGTTTTACTGTCTTGAAATTTTTACATGTTCTACTGTAATTCCTGTACACTAAATCCAAAAATATCCATTTTTCTCCATCATGTACAAGCTTTTCACAAAACATCATATGTACTTTTATATAAGCGTGAATCATTTTCATTGAAATCGGATCACATTTTGTTTTGCTTAAAATTTTGACAATCACTGGCTATAGATTTCTCTAGACCAATCGCACTGTGAGAGTCTTATTTATCATTTACATTGTTATGGTAAGTTATTACAAGGTATCTGAAATTTTGCACATTGCACAAACAGACATTAGAATTATTATTTGAAATGTTTCAGTATGTGACAGATAATTTATGTAGTGGCTGTAAATAGACTATACAATGTAGCTTGCAAACTGTATCTAATAAAATCATCAGCAGAGTAATGCACTAATGCTGACAGGGATTTTTATAATGCAAGTTCTTTAGTCAATTCAAATTCTCTTTATTAAAATGTAATTTTAATATCTAATGCTGAAAATTGAAACTGAAATTTTATGGTTATCATAAAACTAAACTTTAAATTATGTCAGGTTCTTGATATAAGAAATTTGGTAATAATTAGTCTACTAATTAATATATTCAAAAAATTATTAAAATACTATCTTAAACCTAACACCATCAACTACAATGCACTTATAACTGGTCAGTATTGTCACTGTTTAAGGAATATAATTTAATTTCATTCCACCAATTTGTAAACTAAACTAAAATCTAGTAATTATATTTAAAGTTAAATTTTGTGTGTTAATTATCATATACCTTTTTATCAGCAAGTAAAGTTTTGTATATCAATGTATATAATCTCAGAATGAAACTTAATCATTTTCAGATTAAAAGTAACTTAATGTTTTTGCTTTCGACTTACTATTTATTCTTGACCTAATAATGTGAATTGTGGTTTCCATATCTTTAATCTGATAATGTTTTAATAATGTGAATCGTGTTTCCTTTGTTTCAGGAACCGAGTTTGAAGGAGCCATCATTGCCTTGTTCCATCTGCTAGCTACCCGTCAAGACAAAGTCCGTGGCCTGAGAGAGGCTTTCTACCGTCAGAATTTGCCTAACCTGATGAACTTAATGGCTACAGTCTTAGTTTTTGGAATTGTTATTTACTTCCAGGTAAGTTAACTTTCTGAATATGATAGCTATTTGATTGGTTGTACAGAAGAAACTATGGATAAAATGTGTGCACACACTGTTGAAGCAAAAACACATAGAGCTCTCTGAAGCCAATGGCAGCAACACCAGTAGAGTGTGGTAGAAGCCACAAAGACTGAAGCTTAAACTCCCTGCTGGCTTTAATTGAGTGTAGTAGAAATGTGTTATCAGTTCAGGTTTTGTAATAAAGTAGTGTCTCAAAACAATTTAAGACTTGGTAACTCTAACGTACTCTAAAGTTGGTAAAATAAAAAAGTTAGTTGTCATTTAGTTTGCCGTTAGGTATTGTTCATATTTTGAATAGTAAAATCAGAACACTCATAGAAACAAAACATATGTATTAGGTCGTTAAGAAATTAGCATCACTTTTTTTTTTAAATGAAAAACCCAAACAACTTGTATATCAAAACAAAAAATTTATTAAATGAAATAGTCTCCATTCTTATCGATGATGCTTTTCCATCTTACAATCAGGTTATTAATACCCTGATTAAAGAAATCACTTGGCTTTGAAGCAAAAAGCATGCCAATGTCCTCTTTAACACCTTCCACATTTGTATACGTTGTCTCATTAAGATGGTGTTGCAGTGAATGAAAAAGATGGTAATCTGATGGTGCCATATCTGGAGAATATGGTGGGTAGGGGAGAACTTCCCTACCCAACTCTGTAATCTTGTGTTGTGTCAAATGTGCCACATGTAGACGTGCATTGTCGTGGAGAAGAACACCTTTCCGATTGACGAGTGAAGGGTGTTTCTGATGAAGGGCTTGGTTTAAACATTTCAGTTGCTGACTATAGATCTCTGCATTGACAGTTCACTGTGGATTGAGGAGTTCGAAATGAATTACTCCTTTGATGCCCCACCAAATGCAAAACATCACTTTCTGTCGATGGAGTCAAGGTTTTGGGGTCGGAAATGGTTTTTGTGTAAGACTGAGCCATTGTTTTTGACATTTAATATTCTCATAGAGAATCCATTTTTTATCACCAGTGACAATTCTGTCCAAAAATAGTTCATGTGCATTATGCTTCAGAAGAGACGAAGCAACTTTCACACGTTGAAAATGATGATTATCGGAGAGCTTATGAGGCACCCAAACACCTTCTTTATGGAGTTTCCCATATTCCTTATATGGCTATGTATTGTTTCATGAGAGACATGCAATTTCAAAGCCATTTCACGAGTGTGTTGCCTTGGGTTAGATTCAACAAGCATCTTCAGAGCATCAATATCAATTCCAACATGTCAGCCCCTGATATCACAGTTTTTAAGGCTAAAGTCGCATGAATGAAATGTGCTGAACCATCGTTGACACTTGCGATTGTTTGAAACATTTCCATAAACTTCTTTGATATTCTTTGTGACTACAGAGACATTGTTTCCCTTCTTGTATTCAAATAGCATTACATGCCAAATGTGTGTCTCGTCGTGTGCCATCACTATAAGGGATTAGAGTATACTAAACTTTACACATTATATAGGCTACACTAACTATTATACATGATGTACTTTTTTTTTGGAAAAATGGTTAATGAAAGTATTCCAAAACGTGACATTAATTTCTTGATGACCTAATACATAAATATCTTATCCACAGTTTAATACAGTTAGATTTCTTTTTATAATAATTGTGGGATTGTCATTAATCTTCCTTCGCATTTCATCTCCACTTTATGATATTACAAATTGTATGGTTGGCACTTGTTTAAACACAGAAAACATACAGGCATATGCAATGAGCAGTCAGGAGTGAGCTTATTACTTAGTAATTCTGTAATATAAAACAAAATATTTTTAGAAATTTGAAAAATGTCCAGAAAAGTAACATGTCCAAAAAGCTATACACACAGTAGAAGTTGGTTATTTGTGTGCGTGTTATAAATGTGTGCTGTATTGGAACTATTCAAAGCCCTCCCAACAGCCTATCATTGCATTACTGTACAGGTAGGTTACATGCATGTTTATCTTTTTTGGTACCTGTATTCAACTAGCCACTTAACCCTTTCAGCACAGTCTTGGTCCTTGGGACCAAACTTGTAACCATTTTGTGCTTGTTATACTTTTCATGCTTTAACTTTTAAATTAGTAAGCATATCTTCACGAAATTTTGCAGATTATCAGTAAACATTACAAGGCTTTCATATGCAAAATATCAGATTTTTTTATTAAGTTTTAAGATTTTTTAAGTAGTGTTTTTCTCTTGCCTTTTTTCTTTTGGAATGTTGACTATCCAACATGCAAAGTAACATTGATTTTAAAACTAAAAATACTTTTATGCATCAGAAAATTTTCAAATTTCACGTGTAAAATCTTTATAACCTCCAGATAGTTATCAAATATTTGTTAAGAAAAAAAACTTTGTATTTTATCTGTTATTTTCACTATCGAATCTCTGTACGAGTTTGGTCAATTTGACTGACCTTGTAACCACCATAAGAAATTAAGAAATAAATCTAAATTATGTTTTTTTATTTTAGAATGACTACAGATTATAACACGAAAAGACAAATGTTTAGTCTAAATAAATTAAATCTCATAACATTATACATTAATATATATATATTTATTATTTTCATTATATTAACCTGGCTAACATTACAGAAGTTGCAATGACAATGTGCACATGCACTCATATTACTATATCCAAGAATATAAAACTGGCCTTTACAAAGTGACATGTCTTGGCTGTGTTTTAGTGGACTAGTATTTTGTAAAATACAGTCACATTTCAGTTAAAATACATATGTATATACATTATTACTATTTACAAATACGTTCTTAAACTTATTTTTCTTAAAACATAGAACAGTAAATAAAGAAGTATAGGAAACAATTATCTCTTCTAGTTACAAATTTTGTATTCACTTGCTGCTTGTCATAGGTTGCTAAGCCTTATGAAATTTTCCACGTGGAGGATGTATAAAGAAAATGTTTTTTTTAGGTTTTTGTATATATACATTTTAAATAACCAAAAGATCACAAATTACTATATCGATACCATAGAATTCCACTATAATTTATCAAGCGTACTAACTAAGCTGTATTTGGGTCTAAAAATATGAAATTTTGAGCTCACTAAAGACTTATCTTACCAGCCTGAAATATTGTATCAAAAGAAGAAAATTGACATCCTAATACTTCAAAATGGCTCAGAAAGCCACTAGGAGGGCATTCTTAGCTTTCATTTGGTTATTCACGTGTCATAGACAGAAGTACGTGTACATAAGGAAGTGTTTCCACAAATGGAAAGAGGTGGGTGGGGCCACTGTGTTTGGTTCAGTAAACCTAGTGAGATCTCAGCAAATAGAAAAGATAGGTTCTTGTTTTACATTCTAGCTTATCAGTGTCAGTAATTTGAGTTCCTAATTTGTAAGTAACTTTAGACTTTGTATTTGGAGATCCCAGACATCTAATTTGAACCAGTGCTGCATTCAACATACCATGTAACACACAAAAATCGATGTTTATGTGTGTGTGTGTGTGTGTGTGTGTGTGTGTTTTTAATATTTACTGTTAAATTAAGAAATTAACTAATGTATAATACTAAAATTTGTATTATAATCTCCAATAGACACAAGTTCATAAAATAGTAGTTCAATAAAATTTTGAATGCAAGTCAACAAACGCATTAACATGGCCCGTGACCCATGTTGATAGGTTAACAATGTAAAATCGCCAAAATAGAATTGTTTTAAGTACTGTAACTATATTTTAATTGTTATTGTAAACAGAATTTAATGTTTACATGTAAGGTACAATATTTTTTCTGATTTATAAGTTCAAGCATCTGATAATTACCTGCAATCACTAAGCTACAATACAAGAATAGTAATTTAACAGTTCAAACAATTTGTAAATACATAGTGATGAATATGAATCCTTTGTTGGGTTAATTGTTTAGCTTTCTTTTTAATGATCTATTATAATGTATTTCCTAAATCTTCATACTGAAAAATTTAATTTGAGGGTCCATGGTTTATGTCCCATTGTCATTAAATCACACTCTGTATTTTCAGAGAAGTGTGCAGTATAAAAGAAATGGTCAAATCACACTATTTGATTAAAGTAGCCTAAGGGTTGGTAAAAGATACTGCTAATTAGCTACCTTCAGTCTAGTATGAGAGTTCAAAATTAAGAAAATCTAATGCAGTTAGCCAGTGTATAACTTTGCACAAATATCTGAGACAAATAAATAATTAACACATTACAACATTTCACTGAACCAAGCTTCTTCTTGTTTCATGGTTAACAAGATAGTTGTAAATGTGTATAGTTTTCTTCCACTGTCTGTACCTTTCTTTACAAAATATTCACTGATGAACTTGATTTCTACAGTTTTTATTTTTCTGGACAGAGGTAAGTTGAGCTTCTAGAAGATCGTAGCTTTTCGATTCTTTAATATCTTTTTTAAAAAAGTTTTGCTAATGAACTTTATTTTTGCTGTTTAGTTTTGCTATTTATTACTGATAGATAAATTCAACTTCTTAGCTATGACTATACTATAATGATAGAATTGTTATACATTTTAATTTTCTCAATATAATTTAAATGGCTGATTATTTGAGAAAAAACAAATTCTTTCAGCATTTTGTCTTTACTTCTTTAGGAGTAATTTTCATATTGATTGTTTAATCAATTCAAAATACTCCAACCTGCACTTGAACAAATTATACAGTTGTTTTTTGTATATATAACATGTCCTCAAAAGTTTATATTCAATAATTAATGTATGGATTTCTTGTAGGAAGTGTATCTAATAGCATTTTAACTGTACATTATTTGTTGTATGCCACTGCTAACATATTTAACTACAGTTCATGCTGTACCATCTGAGGTGTTACTTATATCATTGCTGTTATATATAATTATTTTTTAATCTTGGGAACTCCATCTGTCTTTTGCTTTCCTCAGTAATTGAAGTTTTTTTATTCTTGTTGGTTGCATAGGGATTCAGGGTGGATCTGCCTATTAAGTCAGCCCGTTATCGAGGTCAGTACAGCTCCTATCCTATCAAGCTGTTCTACACTTCAAACATTCCAATTATCCTTCAGTCAGCTTTGGTATCAAACTTATATGTCATATCTCAGGTATGGTTCCATACAGTTCTAATTAGACTCTAAGCTTAGATATATCTATGAAAAATTTTGTATGAGAAAAGAAAAAAAAACTGATATTTTATTTTTTTCTAGAACATATCTTTAAGCTTCTTAATCCAGAATGTAAAAGTATAATCCAACTTAAAACCATGTTTACACCTTATTAGTCAGTTCATGTTCCCAGTTTCCTTTACGCTGTAGTCAACTGATCAAAGAAAACTTGTCTCTTCTTTTCCCTCTGCATTTACATTTGGACCTTTGTAATTGGAATTGTATATATAAACACATAAGACCATACAAGTATTTTAGCAAGAAAATGTTACTTTAAGTGAATGTTATTCAAATGTTATTGTTTTACTTTGATTTTTAGATGCTGGCAGTAAAGTTCAGTGGAAATTTCTTTGTTAATCTTCTTGGTGTGTGGGCCGTAAGTTTGGTTATTTCTTATGATTAAATACTGAGCTTCATTCCAAAGACTTGAAGATATAAGTGCTAGTATCGGTGTTTTAGTAGACATTTACTTTCAATTTAGGTGTATGATGTGATTCTTATGTAGAAAATAAAACTACAACTGAATATGCAAGTCTAGCATTGCACTTTGTTTTCATAATTAGCTCTTGCAAAATGAGTTGCTTTATTATAATATGATATTAATGCACAGAGAATAATATGTTTTAAGTAGTATTAAAAATTTAATAGTTTTTGAAATATATTTCATCTAACAAGACTTCTCTCTCTCTCTGGTAACTTATTTTTCAGAATGGTTAAATGAAATACAACATTTGCCTTATTTTAAAAATTAATGTTCAGAATAGAATAGAAATGTATAAGCTTTGAAACAGACTAAGAACGTTGTGGAATATGCTCAAGTTGTTACAGTAATGTTGCATACAGTTAACGATTAACTAAAAGTTTTGTACAAAATGTAAGTTAAATTGAAAACCTTTAGGACGTTGGTGGAGGTGGACCTGCCAGAGCTTATCCTGTGGGTGGTTTGTGTTACTACCTGTCACCTCCTGAGACCCTAGGCCACATACTTGAAGATCCCATCCATGCTGTTTTGTACATTGTCTTTATGCTTGGATCATGTGCTTTTTTCTCCAAAACCTGGATTGAAGTATCTGGATCTAGTGCGAAAGATGTAAGTATAAAGAAAAATTTCAGAACTGTCATGGTCATTAAATAGTCATTATTAAGATCAAAAGTAAGTTGATTGTGTATATATTGTATAATAGACTTACTAAGAAAAAAGGGGTACTTGAAGTTATAACTTAATACATGAAAACATAAACTTATAATGGTTAGAATGCATTAAGCCATCTGTTGGGTATCTTTGGCATTAACAATATTTGTGGCCATAATGCCAATAAATATTGATCAACTTATTGAGTTATAGAAAATTCTTTGGAATACAAATAGAGTGTAAAATAAATCATTTTATAAAATAAGTTATACTTCTTCACATAAGTAATGAAACATCTACTTTGAAAAGACACTTTAATCCAAGACATGAAATAATTTCTTCAGTGTGTTCTGGCCAAATATTCTAGCATACATATAGCATCTGTTGTACATGTTTCTTTATTTCTAGCTGTTTAGATATGATATCATAAATAATGGTGTATGAAATGTAAACAGTAGATCTATAACCACATCTTTTAGTTTGTTATCTATAATGTTAGTTCTTTAGATGCTTGTTGAGAAACAAGTTTTACTATAATTAACCCTTGAGTCTTCATTTAATCTTTACATGCACTAAAATTCCTCATACTAGTTCAAGCCAGTGCAAATAATGCACTAAAGTTCCTCATACTAGTTCGAGCCAGTGCAAATAATGCACTAAAGTTCCTCATACTAGTTCGAGCCAGTGCAAATAATGCACTAAAGTTCCTCATACTAGTTCGAGCCAGTGCAAATAATGCACTAAAGTTCCTCATACTAGTTCGAGCCAGTGCAAATAATGCACTAAAGTTCCTCATACTAGTTCAAGCCAGT